CCTATTTATCATGATTATATTGTGTCTAGGATTACTCTATTTATTATGTACTTTTGTATCAATTTATTCTTATAAATAGAAGATCATGAGAGGCATCAATCAAGCCCTCTAGAATTATTTTACAGGTTAATTCTCAAGTATCACATCTAAGTTCAAGCATAAATTCTTATTCATATTACATAAATCTGATTTTGGGAAAAATTGTTGCTTGGCTACATCTCCACCTTCAACTCTCTTTATTGTTGCATCCCCTTCCTCCTCCATCATACTATATTTTTCTGTTAAAAATCTCCCTTTTGTTTTGGTTTTTTCTTCCTTACAGAGGGTGTGATTCTTCATTGCTGGTCTTTCTTCCACAACTAGAGCAATTTGCATATCTCTAATTAAGTCCTTTAAACCATGTTGTGGCAACCAATTGTGAATGTTAGATTGCAGCCCTGCAAAGAAATATCCCTGCCATTGATCTTCTGGTGTTTTATTTGCTTGTGACTCCAATATCTTGAATACTTGGATGAATTTTTCCCCACTCTCAGTCCATGTTATTACTGCCAAACTCTCAAGTAAAACTCTCCGGGCATTTCCACCAGCCGTTGGCGCCAAGAAATTAAACCCACCCTCCTCAAGAATGCCAATATCTTTATGGATATAAAGAATATCCATGTCCCATAAACCATCATGTTGTGAATTATTACTAGGCAACACATCAATAGCATAACAAAATTCACCCCTATTGTTGTTTCCTACTCCAAATTCTTGAATTTAATCTTCCACCCTTTCTTGTTTAATTGTTGCCCATTTTCCAACAATGGCTTTCCGTTTCCTACCCCCACACTTTTCAAAAATGGTGCTGCATTCTCTGCCCCAACAACTCCTACAGAGGGGTTTAGAAAGATCTTCCCAAGAAAGGTTCTTGGATTTTTGTTGCTAGGTCGTGAACCCTTGGACTACATTTTCTTCCATGTTATTGCCTGTTGGGTGTACCCTTGTTGATCCTTTGATGTTCTTAACTTCAAAAACATTTGTTGCCCTTGTTGTTTGACCTTTGGTGTCATTCCCTTCAAATGTGGACAACTTCGCTCCTTCAACCCACGAGAAAAGTAGTACTTCCTCTTCTCTTTTTTGCTCCCAATTGATTGAATTTTCTCCTCCATCTAAGGGTTTCTTTGCTTTCTTGATATTTTGCAGACTATTTTTCTCAATATCCATCCCAGCTTTACCTCATTCACAGACCCTTGGCTATCCTCCAAACTTCTGTCTGACTTCTTGAAGTTTTTCATAAGAACTCCAATAATTTCCTTGAGTTCTTGCTGCCCATCTCTTAGCTCCTCAATTGCCCTTCCAAGAGTGGACAAGGAAACACCAGTGAGATGAGTACAGCAGGGAAAGAGGGGGCCAGTACTACAGGAATATTCAAGACTGGCAGTATTATGACAGGGGATAACCGTAGCAGAGGGATAAGAAACCTGCCTTACCCAGAATACATCTGAAGGAGAGAAGAGGAAATGTGTTTTCATTGTGGAGGTCCCTATAGTCCAAGCCATAGGTGCCCTGGAAGGAGTATCAAGATTTTGATTATGGTCGAAGATGAAGAAGAAGGTGAGGTGAGAAGGAGGGGAAAATGGAGCAGAAGTGTATGGAGCTGTCAGCCTTCTCGGCAAGAGGACTGACTCAGACAAACACTATCAAATTACAAGGATGGGTGAAAGGAAAAAGGGTGTTAGTGTTAATTGATAGTGGCACCAACCACAATTTTATTTCAACAAAATTGGTGGTTGAATTAGGCCTGGAGGTGGAAGAAAGCCCTCCCTACAAAGTATGCTTGGGCGATGGCCACACGAAGACTACTAGTGGATGTTGCCCCAACATTTTGGTCGTCCTGAAAGGAGTAGAGGTCAAGGAGAAATTTTATCTCTAAACTCAGAGGAGTAGATCTGATATTGGGGGTATCATGGCTAACTTCATTAGGTTCTTTGTTCTGTTTCATTTTCTGGAGTTAAACCAGAATAGTGTTCCAGGTTTCTTGCTCTTAAGGTTTCTTGCTCTTAAGAAACCTAACAATGTTTGTCCATAAAAATATTGTTAATGGACAGATTGGATGGTTTTTAACCTTTTATTATATGATTATGAGTAGAATAATTTTTTTCAAAGCATATTCAATGGATCAAAATAAATTATTTTTAATCTATCCATTAGGATGCAACTAAAAGTTTGTCCAATCTATTTGTTTGTATCCTACTCTTTATCCTCTATATCCTCAATAACACACCTACTCACCCTTATTCTTAGCATGATTTGATGCCAATGAAGATGAACTAATGTGGCTTCAATGTTGACTTGAGCAGCATGTAACATGACTGCAAAGGCATGTGCATGGGAGAGACTGTTGCTAAGAGGTTTGCCATACGACATTGTTAATGTGGTTATTAAAGTTATCAAGGATAGAGAAGGCTAATAAAAAATAAAAAAATCAAGGATGGAGAAGTCGGTTTTGACCTTGTGACATAGTCCTTGCAATTTCCATGGTTAAGTTATAATTGAGATGTCTTATCTAGGCAATGCGTGTACCACATATCCATCTTTCTCAGTCCTTAATAATGCACCTCCTTGTCACTTTTCTTAATCTCCCTTCGTGCCATATCGAAACAACAAATTAACGACTCTATAAAAAGAGGATGAAAAGAAGAATGAAGTGAAGGCTGAAAAGGAGGGACTTCTTATAGAGACCATGATGACATGCATAACTACCAATCAATAAGGAATTTGATTGTAATAGATAAATAAAAGATAATGATGCATATTTCTCTTTGATCCTACCATTGGTATCCTCCAACCCATCAAATTGAAGGATAACTATAGCAGCACCAAAGAGACTGAAAATAAACAATATTATTTAAAACTTCCCCTATTTACATTTCTTTAGAAATGCATTTACTTTTAAGATGTACTTTTTATTCTTTCATAAAATATAATAATTTGTAGTAACATATCTAAAGAGGATATAATATTGTTTTGAATGTTTATCCTTGGCCCCTATGCTTACCAATTTTTATTTGACTAATTTTATAAGAATATTGAACTGCAGAGATCCAATTCCAAACCGAACCAATTCATTCAAAATTGGATTACTTTGGTTCAGAGAGGGAGTAAAGCCTATTTTGTAGGCTTAAGCCTAAATCATTTTGGAAGATCATATCATAGTATAACCTAGATCCATCAAAAGGGTCACTCATCATATTACACGAACCAAGTCCAATAGTGCTGAATGTGAAGGGGTGTACTGGGAAAAACTCAAGTCCCAAAATGACTAGAGATAGTGGCCAAAAAGTATATATATAAGTGATGACAATCTTTACCTTACGTGTCGTTTTGTAAGGTTGTGTTAGGTCTAAACAACTTTGTAAGAGGATAGATAATCTAAATTGCTTCTATTAAAAGAGTATAACAAGCAGCTTACTTTATTGCAAAAGCTATTTTCAAAAACAATAATTTATATATGGTTTTCTCCTATAACAGCTCTTTTCAAAAGAAACAGAAAACTAAGAAATTTAAAACTATGAAGTTAAATGTAGAGTTCAAATATTTTAATGGTATATCTTCAAATTAAAATTTAAAACCAATAGATTCTACACACAAAAAGAGTACCTCTCCTTCATCGGTCAATGCAGTAGAATGCCATCCACCAGCTGCAATATCAACCTAGAGTTCCAAACAGATTTAATAAAAGAAATTAGATATTTAAACTATAATCAAAGATTGAAAGTTTGTAGGGTACAGATGTATAACAATCCTCAACTCCTATGCACATCCAAATATAACCCCAAGAGAAAGAATATGTTAGGTTTCACTTCCTTAATTGATGGCTAAGGGAACCCCTGAAGAATAATAAGAGAGAAGAGAGAGATATTTGAATTTCCAGCCCCTTTTCATTCATTCGAAAGGCTATATATAGCCATTACAAAAAATATTCAGATCATAATTGGTTACAATCAAAGGGTCTTCCTGATTTGGTGGGCAAGGAAATCTACAAAATCAAAAGCAATCTACCAAAACGCATAACTGAATTATTCTGGTGCAATGAAAACCTGGCACTTCTAGAAACATGCTGACAAAGAGGGATTCTATGGAACATAATCCTTCAAATGGGCTGGTGTGGTAGTAATCCTTTTGGGCCTTGCCTTATTCAGATGGCCTATGGTTTGCTTGCTAACAGAATACCACTGGAAGCAAGGAGCTATACCCGCAAGTTGGTAAAATGGAAATAAATGAAAAATAAAAAGAAAATTAAGGGGCTTTGGTAGAAGAAAAAAAGAAAACATATGAGTAAAGAGATAGAGCGATAAGTAGAGATAGTGAGAAGTAGTACATTGGATCCCACCAATTTTAAATTATCTTTCCTCTTGTTCTTCCCCACCAAACTACTTATACTAATTCTATCTTCATTCATCTTATTAATTTCATTAATACCAAACAAAGGCTAAGCATTTTTAATAATCTAGCATTCTACCTACATGCATAAACTTAATATTTGCTTGTGCACCAAAACAGCTCACAAACACACGCTTGCAAGCGTGGACACACACACACACACAAGTTGTAACACTGATATATGCCTGTGTTCTAAAGCATACATCCAATTCTGAATCACACAAGTTTATAAAGAGGAATATTCAGATATCACCCAATAATTTGTCTCATTAATTATCTATTTGATTTGAGATAAAGATTTCTTTTCATTTCCTATGTCCATGAACCATAATAAAAAAGGATCTTGTTTTCACTTTATCTCTTGTTTTAAACGTGTAGCAGAGGTAATGGTGAAAACAAATTCTTGTTTTCACTATTTATTACACAAAATCATTAAAATAAAAAGTATGAAATGTGATTTTTTTATAATTATTTGTGAAAAAAAAATCTCAACCCAAAGATACTATAATACACATTATATTGTTGTCACTTTGCTGACATGCAACAAGATACAGACTGAGGAAATAAATTTGACACCACAACTCATTAGAAGGATAAATTTACATTATTGAGTATATATTATCACACATTTTAAAACTACAAGGAAAATTAGGCAAGCCATCCTAGCCCCATGGTTGTTCTATAACTTATATTTCCTCTTCGCCAATGGTAGTTTAAGAAACACTACAAAAGGTATGACAGAATCATCCTTTTGTTAACCATTGTAAAACAAACTCGACAAAGGAAAAGGGAAAACAAAAGGGGCACAAGAGGTAATATGCACACAGTTATATTCAATGTTGTCAAACTCAAGGATAATAAAAGGAAGGGGAGATAAAAGATCCTCAAACATGACTTGTAAGAGTTTACGAGGATATGAAAAACTATATTTACAGACCTGTGCATGCATTAAAAATAATATAGACAGCTAAAATAGATTGCCATGTCATAATTTACCATAATAACTAATAAATGGCAGAAAGATTAGAAGAACATATGATAGGTTTCTGAATTGGAAACCTATCTAATTAGCACTAACACACACTCAACAACCAGAAAAGAAGTATAAACTATATATTTCTCTATTCAGTATAGCAGCCAAACAACCTCGAAGGGAGCCAAATTCTCCCTCCACAGGATAAACGTGATCTTGTCTATACAATATACAATTCCAAAAAGTGTCTATTACTCAAATACATCAGCTCTTTTATAGGAGCTTTATTTCCCGCCCAAGCTATGATTATAGTTATAACTACCTCACGTCTCTCCCCCTCTTTATTCCCTTTTTTCTTCCTTTCAAAAACTCTCCATACCCTATCAACATATTACTAAGAAAAATTATAGAACAGAATATAGTTGAAGTCCAAGGCAACAATTGATGATGATAAAGGCAACACCGACGGTGTTGATGAGAGAATCAGAGACGGTGACGCGAACCTTGTTGATGGTGAAGCAATAATGATAGTAGCATTAGTGCTGCAATGACGACCATAATGATGGGAGTGTCATCAATTATGGGCGTCATCGAGCATAATTGTTTGGTTTTTATTTGCTATTGGGAATCCTAGGAGATAAAGAGCCATCCTTTTTAATTTTTTAAGTCGGGTCATCACAAGCCTCATCTAAAAAATCCCAACACATGAGTTGGATAACTCAAACCCTAGGGTTGACCAACAAATCACTTGAGATTAAAACAAAGAAATATATTTCCATAGGGCTTAAGGAACCCCTCTCATAGTTCTGTATTTATATATATGAAGGTTGATACAATAGGAAGACTAAAAGGCAAAAAGCTCTATCCTAGGCTACTTGGACAAATAACTAGGGGCAGAGGTTATCTAACACTCAACCTCCTGCCTTAGACTTAATGATGACATGGATTTTCAAGCTATTTCAACACTCCCCCTCAAGTTGGAGCATATAGATTGTATGTACCAAGCTTGGAACAAATAAACTCAATCTGAGGTCTCCTTAAGGACTTGGTCAACACATATGCAAGTTGGTTATTTGATCTAACAAACTCAGTACATATTTCTTTTATAAACAACTTCTCACAAACAAAATTACAATCAATTTCTATATGTTTAGTTCTCTCGTGAAATGCTGGATTTGATGCATTGTGGAGAGTAGTTTGATTATCGCAATAAATTTTCATAGTCTGGATGTCACAGAAGTTAAGCTCTTAAAGAAACTGCTCCACCCATATAAGTTCACATGTTAGTGACGTCATTGCCCTATATTCAATTTCAGTTGTTGATCGAGCCACTACATTTTGTTTCTTACTTTTCCATGAAATAATGTTTCCTCCAAGGAAAACACAATATCCAGTAGTAAGTCGTCTGTCAATAGGTGAACATGTCCAATCTTCACCACAGTACCCAAAGACCTGAATGCTCCCTTTTGTCTTCATATAACAACCCTTGCCCAGAGCTCTTTTTGATGTACATTAGAATGCGAATGATAGCATTCCAATGACCAACACATGGAGCCTGGATGAATTGACTAACCACTCTAACTGAAAAAAATAGATTCGGCCTTATAATAGTAAGATAAATCAGTTTCCTAACCAGCCTCTTATATCTCTCTAGATCAAAGAATAATTCACCTTCTTCTGTCATTAATTTCTTATTTGGGTCCATAGGACTGTCTACTGGTGTACAATCAATCATACATGTTTCTTGTAATATGTCAAGAACATACTTCTTTTGGGAGATTACAACTCCATCTTTTGATTGAGCTACTTCAATGCCCAAGAAGTATTTGAGACTTCCAAGAATCCTGGTTTGAAACTGTCTACACAAGTACTCCCTCAGTTGAGATATTCCAGTAGTCTCATTTCCTGTAATGACTATATCATCGACATATACTATTACCTAAACACATTTCCCAGAAGATGTATGACAGTAAAAGATTGAATGATCTACTTCACTACGCTTTAGCCCAAATTTTTGAACAATGAAGCTGAATTTTCCAAACCAAGCACGTGGTGATTGCTTGAGACCATATAGAGAGCGATGCAACTTGCATACCTTACCAGACTCCCCCTGAGCGACAAACTCATGAGATTGCTTCATATAAACTTCTTCCTCAAGGTCACCATGGAGGAAGACATTTTTGATATCCAATTGATGAAGTGCCCTATGACGAATTGTTGCCATTACAAAGAAGAGACAAATAGTAGTCATCTTGGCCACGGGAAAGAAACTGTCACAATAATCAAGGCCATAAACCTGAGTGTACCCTTTAGCAATTAATTTTGAGCCGATCAACTTCACCGTTAGGGTCGACTTTAATTGCTCACACCCATTAGCAACCAACTGCCTTCTTGCCTGGCGGAAGGGGCACGAGCTCCCAAGTATTACTGTGGTCATGAGCATGCATTTCTGTAATCATGGCTTGTCACCATCCAAGATGATCAAGTGCTTCATTCACATTTTTGGGTATAACCATAGAGGACACTGAGCATAAATGAGAATAATAGGCAGCTGACAATCTATGATAGCTAAGAAAATTATAAAGGGGATGTGGGTTTCAAGTGGAACAATTACCTTTTCTGAGAGCAATAGGCCAGCTTAAATCATCGTCACCAAGAGTCGTGGTATGAAGTGACGAGGGAGAAGAATCTGAAGTAAGAGATTCACCATTTTCTTGGAGAAGTGGACCTCCATCGAGGTCTTGTGTCGAAAGATATCAATATGTGGAGATGAGGGTTCAAGAGGCTTTTATCAAGACTTAGATGGACACAGACATTGGAAATATTGGATGCAGCTATGGGAATAGGAAGGACCTATTATATGATATGAACATCTTGAACAGAGGGAGAGAAGTAATAGTTACTCATTTTCAAGCTCCTGCTTTAGACTTAATGATAACATGGATTTTCAAGCTAATTCAACAAGCACTACATGATGCATGACCCGCTGGGTAATAGTTACTCATTTTCATCACCATGGCAATAGTTACTAATTACTGCTCAACAATACAATATATTGAAAGAATGGAATTGAACGAATGAATATCTTTTATTGATGGTAATATCTAAATAAACAAAAGTAAACAATAATTGGGAGTATAACCTCCATCAATTATTTGGGAGCATAACCTCCCTCACAAGACAATAATGTCTGTCACAAAACTCAATAATCAAAAGCATGCCCTTAACCCTAGACTCTAGCTTTATTTATACTAATTATTTCCCGCCCCATCTCTTACTAAATATTTCCCTAGAATATATCTGCATTTAATATAAATATCTCTATATTTAATATAAATATCCCCATATATTATCTTAGCATATATCCTTAATTATAAATATCTTATATTGAATATTTCTCTAGGATATATTATTATTTACTCTAATTAACTTATACTGAATATTCTCTCCTATTGTGGCTCCTTTTATTGTAATTAGCTCTCGCCCCCCTAACCGCTGCGCAGTTAAGATGGTGATTCTTCAACCGTTCGGCTCAGGTCCTTCCCTGCTTCCCACCGTTCGGCCTGATCGCTCCCTGCCTCCCACCGTTCGGCCTGGTTGCTCCCCGTTGTCCACTGTTTGGCCTGGTCGCTCCCCTTTGTCCACCGTTCGATCTGACTGTTCCCCCTTGTCCACCGTTCGGCCTTACCTCTCCATGCCTTCCACCGTTCGGCCTTTACGGTCAATACGGTTCGGCCTCACTTCCCTCCTACCTTTCTTCTCCTTCTCATTACCTCCCACCTTATACCCTAACAGAAGCTCACACAACTTTCTATGAACAAAAACTCCTGATAAATTACTTTACTTCCTTTTGTTCGGGCATAAAAAAAATAATCTATTGTGTCACCTACTACTTGCTATAAAATTTAAGAGTGAGATCCAAAAATCATCTTGGAATGTCATATTCCTGCAGAAATATGCATCAGTGTTCACATACCAAAATATATTATTTATTCTGTCTGCTGACGCAGAAGCTGAAAATAACAAGGTGTTTTCAGAGAATGATATACTAACCAGAGTAAGATCAGAAAGTCCTTGGACAGGAATGGGTTGTGATCTAGGTTGAGTATCTCCAGTTCCAAGTTGTCCATATTCATTATTTCCCCATGCCCATAAAGTTCCATCCTCTTGAAGAGCCAAATTATGAAATGCTCCAACAGCAATGAGCCTCACACTTTCAAGACCTTGAACCCGAACAGGAACTGAAATCTGTTTTCTGTAAGATAAAGCAAAAATATTATAACTCAGCAAAATGTAGAAACTGTTTGGTTACTAAAAATGCAGAAAAACATCTGAATAAGTAAATTAAGTTCATATTTAGATAATAGGAATATAGTATTATAAAGAAAATGAAAAGAGAAACTGTTAGGTTTCTTGGCCAGATTTATAATTCAATTTAAGAAATTAACACACAAATCTTACTACACAATGTAAATAAATAATACTCTAATTCTGAAAAACATAATACAAGAAAACATCCAACAGCTTCCAAGGGAAGAAATTTCCTTCTAGGACAAGCCCTGTTCTAAAACAAAATACACACCACCCCGGGAACTAGAACACCCCTTCCTTAAAAGACAAAAGCTGCCTAACTATGAATTAAAACTTCCCTTAACTGTTGTTTAAACTCCTCCTAACTATCCCTAACCACTTCATACTAACTTCTATGTTTTATTTTTGCCAAACTATCTAAAAACTGTCTACAAACTGTCTAATACATTACATATCCTATCATTACTCGCCGCTGCAAAACAATCATATCCTCAAGGTTGTAGTCTAGAAATTGGTCCTTAATCGTTGTGACAACTTCCCATGCGACTGCCTCAAGACTTCCTTTTGGCCGTTGGCTTAATCCTTGAATCTGCAAAAATCTAACTTTGACAACATAATATTTTGCAAACAAATGCTTAATAAACAGTATGACTCGGGTTCCAAAATCAACAAGTTTATTACTAGAGTTTGCTAGCAATCGATTTCCATAACAGATAAGAAACCCAAGACAAAAGGGACATGGTCTAACTTTCTTGTCCTTCTTGCATAGGGCCTACTACTTTGTCAAGAAATACTCCACCAATTGGTTTTCTAATGTTGGGTATACTAGAGACACCAATATCTTGAATTCTTGGATGACTTTTTCCCCCTTTCCCTGTCCTTATTACTGCTGTCATCCTCTCTAAAATTTCCACACTCCCAATCTGTTACTGTTGCCAAACTCTCAGATAACATGTTCCCTTGTTCCCTTGTTCCCTTCAACTATCCTTAGTTGAGGTGTTGCAAGATCTTCCCAAGAAAGGTTCTGAGATTTCTGTTGCCAGGTCTTGAACCCCTTGACTGCATTTTTTTCCATGTTATTGATGGTTAGGAATACTTTTGTTGTTCCTGTGATGTTCTGGACTTCAAAAACATTTGTTGTCCCAACACCAACTACTACCTTTGAACCATCCACATTCAAAACAACCTCATCTTTTACTTTAGTCCCACAAGTAATAGTTAAAATGTTCCCACCACATTCGGTCATCTTTCCTCTGTCTTCACCATCCTTCACTGTTTTGACATATTCACCAAGACCTACCACACTATCCCCCTAAAACCAGCAGCTTTTGCAACTTCATTCTAAAAAGCAAGAGTCACAACATTCCCATCACAGTCTTGGTCTCCACTTTCCTCTTCACTGATATCCTTTTCTCTTTTCTTCTCCCAATTGATGGAATTATCTCCTCCATTTGAAGGTTTCTTGGCTTTCTTGATGTCTTGTAGATTATCTTTCCCAACAACCATACCCTTCTTTACCTCTTTCTTTCCTTTCATGATGTCATGAAGAAGTTCCCCTCTCCCTCCCTTTCTTGCTCTATCAATAGATTTATCCCTTCCTTTAGAGTCCCTTTTCTAAATCAGGACATCCAGAATCCTATTACATTCCCTTATCATTTCTTCCAATTATTAGAAACTTTTCTCATCTCTTGACACCATGCCCTCACCTTTTCCAGTTCACTGGTCCCCCTCTCCAAACTATTGAATTCCATGCTTTCCCTCCTTCTTGATCCGGTAGGTCGAACCAATTTGTTAGGTTTCTTGGAGATAAGAAACCAGATTTATAATTCAGTTTAAGAAATTAACACACAAATCTTACAGCACAATGTAAATAACACTCTAGTCCTGAAAAATATAATACAAGAAAACATCCAACAGCTTCCAAGGGAAGAAATTCCCTTCTACACATGACAACACCCCCCTCTCCTTAAAAGACAAAAAACTAGCTAACTACTAACTAAAACTTCCCCTAACTGTTGTTTAAACTCCTCCTAACTACCCCTAACCACTTCATACTAACTTCTATATTTATGTTTGCCAAACTATCTAAAAATTGTCTACAAACTATCTAATACATTACGTATCCTATCAAAAACACTTTATTAAGATAGAAAAATAAGTGTGTAGAAGCAAAAGTGCCAAAGTTTTTCGTGGCAAAGTGCCATCTTTGCTACAATTTGAAGCATTTGTTTGGAACAGAATTTTAGTTTTGGAAGCTTCTTCAGCATGTCACTTTATACGTGTGATTTTGCAATCTAATTTTAAGAAAAAAAATACGAATAGATATCTTCAGAGATTAGGAATTGTGGTAATTAAAGGAATTATCTATAGAACCTTCTTAATTAGAGAAAATATCTATAGAATCTTCCTATTTAGAGAAAAATCATTTATGATCTTCTAGATTAATTTTTAGTACATTGTTTCCTTATTTCCTTTTTTAGAAGATTAGATTGCTACAAATAGGGGTAAGGAGAATGTGATTGATATGAATGAAAATAATAAAATCATTCTCTTTTTCAAGTTGGTATCAGAACTCCCGATCTTGGGAGCTTCGTTTCTGCTGCAACAGTAGCCACTGTCGTCGTTGTCCAACCACCGTGTCTGCCTTAATCTAGTCCTTCACAATCTAGTCCTTCACCACCACTAGATCTTGATAGGAAAGCTTATAAAGAGGAACTCGAGCACTTAAAAGCAATGGTTGAATCCATGAGTAAGCCCTATGGATCATGTACTCTGTCCATGTAAGGTAAGATTTGTCTCAATATTGCTGCTCATATTGCTGCTCTGGGAATATAATTTTGGACTCATCTATTGTATTAAAGGATGTTTTACATGTTTCACAATTAGCTAATAGTCTTATCTCTGTGTAAAAACTCAAAGGATTGAAATTGTTCAGTAACATTTTTCTAAACTTATTGTGTTTTTAAGGACCTTGCCACGGGAAAGATGATTTTAACTGTTAAGGAGCATAGTGGGTTGTATCTTTTGGAGTGTAATGACCAAAGCAACACAAAAATCATGACTCAACAAGCTACATCTGAGACGTGAGTAAATGCCCAAATATTGTTAAATAATCAAGGGCTTGGGCATCCTTCATTTAATCTTATCAAGTCCTTATTTCCCATTTGTTTAACAAGGAGTCTGTTGAGTCTTTTAATTGTGATATTTGTCAGTTGTCAAAACACCATCTTGCATCTTATCCTATTAATAATAAAAAGAGTACTTCTGCATTTGATTTAATTCACTAGGGGACCTGTAACAGGATCTATTTATGGAGCCAAATTGTTCGTTACCTTTATTGACGATTATACACGTGTCATGTGGACATACCTTATGAAATATAAATCAGAAGTTTTTCAATTTTTTGTTAATTTTTTCCATCTTGTCCAAAATCAATTTGGAAAATATATCAACAGAATCAGGTCTGAGAATGGTATTGAATGTGAATCATGAATTTCTCAATTTTTTGTCTCATAATGACATTGTTTATGAACTAACATGTGTAAACATCTCTCAACAAAATGGGGTTGTAGAAAGAAAGAATCGTCATCTTCTTGAACTAACTAGAACTCTTCTTTTTCAAATGTTTGTTACAAAAATTACTGGGGGAAGCTGTGGTATATGCCACATATCTCATCAACAGGTTACCCACTCATATCTTAAATGACATTAGTCCTATAGAGTCTCTATTGTATTTTGTTCCTTCTTCTCCCCTAATAACGAATCTACCTAGTTGAATCTTTGGATGTGTTGTTTTTATTCATTAGATCCCAAAGTTCTTAAATGTGTCTTTATTGGATATCATTCTAATGAAAAAAGGGTACCAATATTATCATCCTCAAAGTCATTGCGTCTTTATCACCATGGATGTCACCTTTCATGAAACACAATCATTATATGTCAGTCCACCACTTCAGGGGAGAAAGCACTTGAAGTGGAGGAACTCTCCTTCTTGTCATTACCATGTTTGTCTTTGCAGAATGCCCAAGATCTGAGCAATGAAGCTACCATAGTCCACAGTGAGGAAGACGATTTTTTTGGCAAAAAATATGAAAGAAGAAAACAACTCACTTCAACTCTAGAGCAAGGAAAATTGTCTAATCCGGAGGTGAGGATCCTTGAAGATATTAGTGAGAAGGTAAGTATTACTGAGGATTTACCCATTGCATTGAGAAAGAAAGAAGATCATGTGCTAAATATCCTATTTCGCAGTATGTTTGCACTAACAATCTCTCTGATAAACACAAAAGCTTTATTGTTGCCATTAATGCCACAGAAATACCTACCTCAATCCAGGAGGCCATGAAACTTGAACATTAGAATCAAGCCATAAAAGAAGAGATGAATGCATTAGAAAGAAATTCAACTTGGGAGATTGTTGATAAGCCAAGAAACAAGAAGGAAGTCGGGTGTAGATGGATATTCACAGTGAAACATACGGCAGATGAGGACAATAAAAAGATATAAAGCTAGATTGGTGGCAAAAGAATATACCCAAACCTATGGGATTGACAATGAGGAGACATTTGCCCCAATGGAAAAGCTGAATACAGTTCGAGTTGTTCTCGCTTTGGCAACTCATTTTGGATGGGACTTACACCAGTTGGATGTGAAGAATGTATTTCTTCATGGAAATCTAGAAGAGGAAATGTACATGGAGATTCCCCAGGTTTTGAAGTGAAAAATGAAAGAAAAAAGGTATGCTTCTAATACACTGTCGTTGAAACTATCAAATTAAAACTACTTTACAAGGTACCTTCAGTATTTCCAATTTAGTAGTCAACAAATTAGATAGGGTTAAAGTAACCGAGTCGTTTCCCAACAAATACGGAATTTATTTTCAAATACATGACTCTTATGAAGACTTTTAAAATTCAATAGAATGCAATGCAATGCTTAATAAGTCTATCCTAATGATACTAATGTTAAAGAATGTTGTGAATTTAATTAAAGAACAAATGAGAAACTTAGAAACAATAATAATCAAATTGGCTAATTCCACAACTTTTCCAAAATAGATTCATCATCGGTTATCCACATATTATTGTTCAATTGATCATTGTTTGAGTTTCAAATTAATTAAAGTACATTTTTAATTAACTCAAGGGCGATTTTACAATTAATCAAAGTAGATTCTCAATCAAAAGTAAGACCTTTCTAGATTATTCACAATAAATTCAACCAAAATGCATTCTCAATTAAATCATATTGTGTTTAATCGTAACTATTCTTAAATCTTCTAACCAAATTAAAAGTTAATTAATCAAAGTACATTCTCAATTAATTATTGTTAAAGTACTTACCACTAATCAAAGTACATTTTCAATTGGTAGCAAAAACTCATTCAATCATATGAAAGTTCATAAATTCAATCAAAGTACATTCTCAATCAAACCTAGAAACCCTTGAACTCATATGATCAATATGCATGAAGATTCAAACATCTTATAATGTAAAAATCATTACTATTGACATGATTGAGAAATGAAAGACATAAAACAAGGATAACCCAAATCAATAATCAAAAGAAACAAATACATTAATTCAACATAACCTCAGAATCCATAATAAAATTATAGTGGAATAGCTCTAGACGCTTATCCCTCCATGAATGGAGTGAAATACATAATCAAATAAAAGTGAGAAGAGTGGTGGATGATTACTTTCTAGTGGAGGAGTCTGGGTAAATGCATGATTGATTTTCTGCTTCCCCTAGGTTTTTTTATATAGGAATTGTTTGGACTTGGATTTTGAATATTCTGTTGATAAAATCTTTTATCTGTTACTATAATATCTTCCAAATAATTAACAAATTTAGATAATTATAAAAATATTTGGGAGATATTTTATATTGATAAAATCTTACTTGATAATGTAATATCTCCCAATTATCTTTTAAATGATCCAATATCTTCAAGATATATTTGATTATTGTGGAGATCTAAAAATATTTGAGAATATCTTTTCTAGATTCAAAAATATTTGGCAAATATTATCTTTTGATATTTACTAATATAGTTAAATAAGGTAATTATTTAACATATCAAATAAAATATCTTAAGATATATTTTTTCCAAATTATCTTTTATCATAAACATTTATCAATTATCAAATCCTTTTTGTAGAAAATATAAAAAAAAAACCGCAAAATCCAATTTTTGTTGCCTCTTCCTTTTTTTGGCTTAGCCAAATTCCTTCACTTTTTCATGTTTTGCTTGGATTGACTTCTTGTGGTCTTGATTATTTGCTATTCTTGAATTTATCATTAAGGTTTTCATGTTTTTCTTGGATTGACTTCTTGTGGTCTTGATTATTTGCTATTCTTGAATTTATCATTAAGGTGTCATGAAAATTTAACCAATTTATTTTCATGCCGTAATCAGTTCAACTTAGTTGCAGTTGTACTAACACACCAAAATAACCAAAGAATATTTATGAAACTAAAAAGCTATTTTTATCCTGTTTAATAAACTCAATTATAACAAATATTCTTTTAAAGTATAAAAACTAATTAAGAATTCAATATTAAAGGCTAAATGAGATCATAAATATGCACTCATCAGCCTCCTAAAGAAAGCATTATATGTCTTAAGCAATCCCCTAGAGCATAGTTTGGAAGATTTACAAAAGCAATAGTTTCCTTGGGATACAAACAAAGCCAAGGAGATCATACTCTATTCATAAAGCTCAATATTAGGGATTGATAGGAAAATTGATTTATCTATCACACACAAGACTAGACATTGCTTATGCAGATAGTGTAGTGAGCCAATTTATGCATGACCCAAGAGAGAGACACTTGCAAGGAGTTGACAAAATTCTCCAATACTTGGAAGTCAAGTCGAGGAAATGGGCTATTATTCAAAAGGGAAGACACATTGACTATGCAAATATATACTGATGTTGACTATGCAGGCTCTATTACTGACAGAAAATCTACTTTTGGGTATTGTGTGTTTCTTGGAGATAGTCTGGTAACGTGGAAGAGTAAAAAGAAAGATAGAGTATCTCGTTCTTGAAGCTGAATTTCAAGCTCTTGCTCAAGTAATGTGCGAAGGACTATGGATGAAAATCATTTTGGATGACCTTAAAGTCAAGGTGGATAATCCTATGCAACTAGATTGTGACAATAAATCTGCCATGAACATAGCCCGTAATCTAGTACAACATGACAAGACCAAACACATTGAAATTGATAGACATTTCATCAAAGATAATCTAGACAGAGGCTTTGTGATTACAACTCATGTTCCTACAGAAGGTCAGATAAGAGATATTTTTACAAAAGGACTCCCTTCGAGTAGATTTCAAGATCTTGTGGGCAAGTTGGGAATGATTGATATTCATTTACCAACTTGAAAGGGAGTGTTGTAATTAAAGGAAATATCTATAGAATCTTCTTAATTAGAGAAAATATCTATAGAATCTTCTTCATTAGAGAAAATAGGTATATGATCTTCTAGATTATTTTTTAGTACATTGTTTCCTTATTTCCCTTTTTTAGAAGATTAGATTGCTACAAATAGAGGTAAGTAGAATGTAATTGATATGAATGAAAATAATAAAATCATTCTCTTTTTCAAGTGGAACCTTTATCACTTAGATTTTGTTGGAAAGTCTTATATAGCTGGTCTCAAATTTGGGAGTGCGACTTATATCTATTTGTTGGACAACTTTACCTAATATCAATTGGTTTTATGGTGAAATATGGTATGGTATCAAAGCCTATAATTCATCTTCATACCTTGACACTTAGACTGCAACTCATATATCAATTGAGTAACTTTGTTTAATGTCAATTGGTTTTAAGATGAAATATGACAATTTTAACCATTTTCATTGTTGTTTTTTGTTTTGTTTTTTGAATAGGACTCTTTATCTTGCTTTTTCTATGCAGTTCACTCCTTTCATCTCAACAAATTTATTTTTTAAATCTAAAATGAAAATTACATGTCACCCGGAGGCCATGGCTGACCCCATGTCCAAACATGGCCTTCACACGTAAGTACCACTGAGTGAGTTCCTCCTGCAGCAACCTGCACCCCGAATGAATTAGAAAAACATTAAACTAAGTAAAACCCATGCCATCCAATTTTCAAATGATGCATCTGTTACAATACAAATGTGGAAGTACCTATACAAACTCAAACAAAGAAAGCATTTATTGCACAATTACTTTACCAAAAAGAATCAAATTCGATTTATTAAGCAAGACTACAGGGGTTAACGGCATAACAAGAATTATAATCAGACATCATTCAGATTCACAACATGAATAACAAATTAAAATGAACAATTAAAACTTTCTGGAGCTATAAATAATTTTTTCCTTGTCACATCATCATCAAAAAGTCAAGGTGATAGAATTACTCTTGCTAAGGGCAAAGCACATATCACAATTTTAACTTTAAAAATTACTGGGATTAAGCATTTAAAATAAAACTTAAGAATAGGTAAACTAAAACAATTATAGGTTTACCAGTGTATTGCTTACTGGAACATAGGCCATTTTAGTTTGAACATGTCTCACAGGGCCTTGCATGGATCAAGAAACTCTCAAGTTTAGAAGGAAATGATTTCCTTCACTTATTATATCACAAACATACATCCGATATGTATACAAAGATTTGTTGGATAGTTTTGGAAATAAGAACAAACTATTCTAGGGAACAAATCCCTGAGATTGCAGGATTGTTATGCTTGTCATAAAAACATGATACAGCAAATATACAAAATCAAAAACAATAGGAATACTATCTGAAGGTTTCTAAAATATATTTTGACAGAAACTAAAGAAAATCTCAGATGTATCCATCGCTTTCCAACATATAAGAAGCTGTAGCTTGATCTTCACTTAAAATATATGTATAAATACAGTATTTTTTTCTTGCTCTGTGGTAAGGTTACTAGTAAGCATTGAGCAAAAGCAACTTAAACATCTCGAAACTAAATCATTGGCATGTCTGACATTCTACTAAGGTTACATGGGAATTGTACAATAATAACAACAAATTACAAGGACTAAAAGCTACCATAACGTTCTGTCATAGACAAAATATTGACAGTGTCACTCACATCCCCTTTTCACGAATTCAAAAGGATGATGAAAGGTAGATGAAAACTTTCATACGAATTATAGTGGCATAAAAAACTAATGATTTGAAGGAAATAAATGCACATCTAAAATTAAAGATTGGCACAGAAACAAAAGTAAAGGCAGACCGTTTTTGTTCCACCATAGCATTCAAGGCATTGGAATACATAAATTACCTGCCGAACAACAAGCTTAGGAGCACAACGTTGAGGGATCTCTATATCTCTCCTTAAAGGTTTGCCAGTATCATCCTTGCGCTCAGGTTCTTCACCACACTGCCCATATTCATTTCCACCTGAAAACAATTATGCCAGCTCTTAGAAGTTTTGTAATATATACATCAATTAAACTGAATCAACACTCTTTCAGAATTTTGGACAGCTAAAGGGAAAAAAATAATATGGCCTTCCACCCAACTTCAAATTTTTATCTTAAGATAAATTAATAGTTAAGAAGTATGTAGTACATGTACACAATTCATGTAAGTATACAGTTTGTCACTTTATACGTGATTATTACGGGACTTCTTTTAAAATAATCTGGTACGCAGTAAGTCAGTAACTATATTATGACATGGTTATTTTGTCCAAAGAGTCGTTGAACTAATAAGTGGATGGAAGGGTATAGATTTAAAAAGTAATGAAAGGAAGGCATATTGCAATCTAAGTGGAAAACGAGAAGACATTTTGGTGTGTTTGGATGAGCATTGGAAAAATTAATTTTGAAGTGATGTGATTTTAGTTTGGATGATTTTATAATTACAAGTTAATAGTAAAACTAAGTATAAAATTTCTATCCAAAACAAATCCTATTTAAATTTGCATTGATTCAGAATCAATTCATCAGCATGAGATTAAACATGAGAAGATTTAATGTGATTCTAGAAAACCTAACATGGAGCTAAACGCGCAATTAGTATGCGTAATGACGTTGCCACTTTTTGGACAATGCTAACTCTAGTGATCACAAAATAATAAGAATAATAATAGTAGTAGTAATAGTAATAATAATGATAATAAAAAAATGATGATGACGACGATGATGAAGATGATCATGATAAAAATAGTAAGAACAACAACGTGATGGAGAAATGAAAGCAAAAAGGATTTATGGTGTGGAGTGAAATGAATAATAGAATAATACCCCAGGCATAAGCTCTGCCCTGATCATCAACAGCCAAACAGTGCCATCCCCCAATAGCCGCCTAACAACCACAAGTTATTCACTATCAATATTAACAAAATAAGCACACCAAAAAGAATGATAATCATGAAGAGAATGAACGAATGGATGGATGTATACCTGGACAATCTTAACACTGGAAAGAGCCTTGACCTGGCTGGGAATGTTCTCAATCTTGTTCTCAGACTTACTCTCAGCTGGATGCCCAAGTGTGCCCCTTTGGTTCCAACCCCAAGTGAACAACTACATCACCCAAGTAACCACCACCCCACCAAAAAAGATGAGATTTTGAACGATACACACGATTTATAACAACGAAAAAGAAAAGAAGATACAGAGAGATTAAGATACCTTGCCGTCCTCACCGATGGCGAGGGAGTTTCTGCTGCCGGCAACGACGGAGCGGAAACGGTGAGGTTGGAGAGCTTCGACGAGACAGACCCATTCTTTCTCTTCGTTGTTGCCGATTCCTAGTTGACCATCTTCACCAGAGCCCCTGAATGAAAAGAATCGATCACACACGCTTCTTTGAACGAGAGAAGAGAAAGAAAGAGGAAATGGTGATAAAGAGACAGAACAAACCATGCAATAATACAGGAATGGGAATCCATGAAGGTTGGAGCAGAGTGAGAGAGAGTGTCGAGAGAGTATCCAATAAAGAGAAGATTATCACAAACACTTTGCGTGCGTGGAGCTTACGAGTTAGCGTTTCTGTACACTTTTTTTAAAAGGAGAATGTTATGTTCACAATCATTTTGACAACAATTTCACAATGACATGTGGCGTCTTTACATTAGGTAAATAAAGTGAAAAGAAACAAGAAAGAGATAATCAGGTCGAGGAGTATTTTTGGAAAAGATTTTAAAATTTTAAGAAATGGGTTTGACGGTTTATTTTGGGCGTAATGTGCGTAGGTTTTTCAACCCTTCCATCTTCTCTGTAGCTCTGTCGTCCATCTTGACCCTTCCATCTTCTGTCGCATTGTATCCTGTATGTTATCTTTGAAACCCTAGTGTTGTTGGTCTTGTGTTGTTGTATTTGTGTGGTTGGAAGGCAGGTGTCGTTTTGTGTGTGGTTACTTTGTTGTGGATTTTCCGTCTGCTGGAGGAGGCCGTGGAGCATTATTATCCGTCGTTGTTGGTGTAAGTAAAAATGGTCGAGCCCTCACATTGTCTTTTACATTGTCTTTTTGGTGTTTCATTAACCTTAATGATATAACGAGTGTGGATTGTTATCTTGTTAGGTCAATTTCAATGGAAGGGAAAAAACGAAGTGTAAGAAAAATTATAATTTTCTTTTTATAGATTATTTATTATCGTATCAATTGTAGTTATTAATAAAGTTATCATCATTTTTGTGTAGTAGCGGCTTCTTACCTCGATGGACTCATCGATCATTATTGAAATGAATCGTTTACTAGGAAAGTGTCATGTGGAGCGCATTAGGATGACTCTATTTATGTGGTGTTTGAATGTTCATAGCCTTGTGGAGGTGAATTTGAAATTATTGAAGGTTATGGTTTGCAGGTGGGCCGGGCATGATAATAGTTTTAGAGTAAGTCAATAGTTGGTGCCCTTTTCAGTTATTGATGTGTTCATGAGCATAGGTTTAGAAATAGGTGGTTTAGAGATTTCGTTTGATGAAGTAGTTGTTGGATTGGTTGGTGAAATGTTTAAATAAAAAACTATCACTTTGAAGGAGTTGACGGACATGTTTAATGTCATTGTGCATGATAATAACATTGATGTTGATGTAGTATGTAGGTTATATATATTAGTTTGTTTGGTTGTTTTTTATTTTCCTAGGAAATCAAGGCATGTTTGTAACATGCCTTTTGCAGTGTTAGATGACTTAGACAGTTTGTGTCTATACGATTGGTGCACCGATGTACATAAACATATTGTACAGAATTTAAATAAATGTAAGAAGAAAATTATGAGAGGAGGTATCGCGCAGTCACTCACTCTTAGTGGCAATGTGGCAGTGTTGCAGGTAATATTATTTATAGTTAATTATTTTGATGTACTGGAGAACATTGTCAATTAGGTTTGATGAAATAATATTATGATATTGTAGGCTTGGGGGGTTGAAAGACTTTCTTTGCATGGTCATGCTTCACACAGGTTTTTCCCGCGCATAATGCAATGGTTCCCGTATAAATCAAGGACCGAAAAAATTGAACATATATTTAAGACCGGATATGTAAGTGTTTTGATATTCATTATTTTTTATGTAAAAATTGATTGTCTTATTTGTCAAATTTTGTTGTGTGATAATGGTGCAGTTAAATCTGGAGTGGTATGTGAGAAAGGAAGATCGACATCGCCCGGAAATCCGTGCAGCTTTCCACATGGATGACGGAGGGATGAGTGAAGGATCCTTGGCTGAAGGATCCAAGGTTGAGAAAGATGATGACGAAAGCTCTGATGACGGCACATGGGAAGTAGGTGCCGAGGAGAGATTGAGGAAAAACAATGAAGATCTCATAGCATTGAGTGCCAAGATTGGAGTTCTTACTAGGGAGTTATTTGAAATTTGTCAAACTCCAATCTTTACTGAAGAAGATGTATGTGGTACTGATGAAGAAGTTGCTGGTGGAGTTGATGAAGCACCTGAAGTTGAAGGTGACGAAGAGCCTGAAGTTGGTCGTGATTGTGGATTTGAACAACAAGGTGATGGTAATGCAGTTGATGACCCCCTAGGTGCATATACGGAAGTAAGAGGGGAGGATAAAACCGCATATGAAGATGAGGTAGTTTCAAGAAGTCATGATAACATTGTTTGTATTGAAATCCATGATGATGGTGATGAAGAAGAACGGGAGGTCGTACCATTGGTTATCCCCCCATTGCGCAGTTTTGTTGGGGATCCAATCACCACTGTTGATGTAGACCAATTGTATAGAGCAGTCAGCATCAGAGATATCACTGTATACAGGTATTTGCTGTGAATTGTAGTTGTGGTTGGCGAATCTCTATTGTTTGTGATGAACTAATATTTATATGTTTAGGGTTGTATGCGAGATAATTGGGCAAACCTTGAGCAGGACTTCATTTTACACTTTGGCTCCGATAAAATACGTTGATAACATGGTTAGTATTGTGACATTTCTTTGTGTTTCATGTTGTAGTTTATGTTAGTAATGTGAAAATTTTTTATTGTGTAGGTGGTGTTATTTGCTTGTACGATGTTTATGTACTTTGAGAAAAGGTTGTGCGGTGTTGTTAAGAGGATTCATTTTAGTCCATTATACTCGGTAAATAAAATTTGATATTGTATCATATATTTCATTGAAGAAATTATTTTTGATTGATTTTTAATTGATGATTTTGAAATTGTCCACAGCACCATATTCTTACAGATTATAGGAAACGTCCACAGAATCATAATGTTTGGACGCTTCATAACTATAACAGTTATCTGCGTTGCGATCAGTTTGGACTTGGAGACATTGCCACAGCTGACTTTGTGAGTAACCTTTAATGTGCAATACTTGTCCAGTTTTGGTCGGAAATGTGTTATTGATATTGTTTTTATTGTTTGTAGTTGTTTATGCCATTTGTCCACGATGATCATTGGTGGTGTTATTCAGTGAAATTGAGTTCATTAGAGATATTTGTGATTGACTCATTGGGTAAGGGGATCAGAGACTGGAAAAGGATAGACACAGCTGTTGTAAGATTCCACATATTTCATTGTTGATGACCCTGTGATTGTCAGATAACCCTGTATTGTTTAACATTTTTTTGTATTTGTTAACTGGTAGGCTGAAAATATGACACGGTTTTTTTGCCTCTTGATGAATAGACGGGAAGGTAGTATTGGTCCTTTGACTGTTAAACAAGCAAATATCCCATCCCAACCAAACTTGTAAGTTTTTTGAATTGTACTGCTGTATTATATTGTGTTATGATGAATATATGGTGAAAAGTAATTTTATGTGGTGGGTATATTTTATCCTGGTTCGGATCTTACCAATCCTACATCCAGTCACTTATCTCAAATCAAGATAAACAGTTCACTACTCACAAAACAATTGTAAAAGTTTAGAAACCACCTCTCTTGTTACCCCAAGGGATGAAAGTCACTTCTGCTATAACCCACAAGAGATGAACACCTCCTCCAAATCTTCACAAAGGATGAACACCTCCTCCGAATGCTTCACGAAGGATGATAGGCTTTTAACTCAGCAACAACAACAACAACATTCAATCACACTCCTTGTGAAAGTTCTCGCTCTATGCCAACACACCAAGTTCTCAAAGCCACATCACAAGGGTTCAACAAACCCTAGAACACTTATCACCACACACTACAAATAAGATTTTTCAAAATACACTTATTTCATATTTTGTATTTTTGTATTTTAGAATGAGAGTCCCAATCTAATTTATAGAGACCTCACTCAAGGATATCTCCAAAATTTCGTTGTCAACTAATTAATGTGTGATAATCAATTATCCAATTATGGTAATTAATTATGCATTTAATTAATGCACAATTGTAAAAAAACTTTCTTAAAAATTCTCATAATTTCTCATTATAATCAATTATGGCAAGTCATAATTGATTACTGATAATCGATTATTACAAATTTATAATCTATTATCTTGAGTATAAAATGAGGTTTTCTAATTCAAAATAAATTTTAACACAACCTAAGACAATCAATACATAGAATCAAATATAAACCACATCCTATACATAAATCTACTAAATTATAAAAGCTTGAATATAAAAACAAGTCTTCATGAAGATCTTCCTACTTGAGACTTGACTTTGAGACATCATCAAAAATTCTGCTCTTTAGCTTTATGCTAACAAGTTCTTATAAAAAATGTTTTAGGAATGAGGTTGAGGTCCCTTACTCAAAGCACTTCAAGTTGTCCTGAAGTAAGGATGGGCTCCTTAATGTCCCTTCATCATCCAAGTTACGTTGTTCACTCTTCCTCCTTCTTGTCCAAGCCTTGTGGGTGGCTACCTATCAAATGCACTTTGACGCTCAAGTTAGTAATAGGATTGATCGATTTTTTTAGTTAAACTTAAAGGGCCATGTGTGGGCAAGCAGTTGAATCCAAGGTAAGGCCGAACAATTGAGGCCGAACAATGGAGGCCAAGATTTGTCAGGTACCCAAGGTAAGGCCGAACACTTAAGGCCAAGATTTGATGAGTGCTTGTAAGGCCATGATTGGTCGAGCACTTGAGGCCAAGGTATGGCCGAACACTTGAGGTAAAGATTAACTAGGTACTTGTGAAGTCGTGGTTGACTGAGCAGTTGAGGCCAAGGTAAGACCGAATAGTTAAGGTCGAACACTTGAGGCGAATGATTGGTCGGACACCTGTGAGGCCATGGGTGACTGAGCAGTTCAGTCCAATGTATGACCTAACAATTTAGGCAAAGATTGGTCGAGTACATGTGAAGCCATGGTTGGTCGAATAGTTGAGACCAAGGTAAGGCCGAACACTTGAGGCCAAGATTGGTCGGGTATATATGTGAGGCCAAGATAAGGTCGAACACTTGAAAACAAGGTAAGGCCAAACACTTGAGGCCAATATTGGTTGGGTACTTGTGAAGCCATGGGTGGTCGACCAGTTAAGGCCAAGATGTGGTCGAACACTTGAGGAAAAGATTGGACTAGTACTTGTAAGACCATGGTTTGGTGAGTAATTGAGGTTAATGTAAGGCCAAACACTTAAGGTCGAACACTTGAGACTAAGATTGATTGGGTC